GGCCTCCCCGGGGCCAGCTGCAAGCGTGGACGAGGCGAGAGGCAGGGGCACCCAGGTGTGGGGTGCGCACCCCCCAAGAGGCCCGTTGGTGCCTGGTCCTCGTCCCACAAGCCCTCCTTCTGGGCAGAGAAGCCCAGCTGCTGGGGAGGGGGCTGCCCCTCTCCCCCGGCGAAGTCACTGCCCCCAGACGCTGTGCTGAGCCCAGCCCAGCACATGTGGTCCAGCAGCTCATGCCAAAATTTCAGAAACCAGAACCGGCCATGGCACAGGCCACCAAAAGCAGCATTAGTAAGTCAAACAGGGTCAAGGCACAGCACCGCACAGCATCAGGGCACAGCAGGAAGAGGGGGTCCCACACGGACACCGTACCTTGTCATGCGCTGACAGCTGGCCGGAAAGGTCAACAGACATGTGTGACCGAGACAAAAGAAAAGGCGGGGTCCACGTGACATGAGGTCATAAACAGCTCGGTGAGCTGTGCGTGCTGACACGGCCCTGCGACACCCTGGCGGGGCGCCCTCGCCCCAGGAAGCCCACTGCCCAGCCCCCTCCAGTCTGTGACTGTTAGGGAGAGCCAGACTGGCTGCTCCTGTGCCTCACCCCTCGGGTCCACCTCCGCCTGTATGACCAGAGCCATCCGCCGGCTCACCAAGGTGCGGGCTGCTCCGGCCTGCCCACCTGCACACCTGACTTATGAGTTCGGGTCCTCAACAAGCTTTGTTATCCAAGAAACTACACTTGACCCAGAGCTTCCCTTCCACTGATAGAAACATCGACGGGTCACTGGACACTCTATCCTTAGGGATCACTTACACACCAGACTGAAAGCCAATGCCACTTTCTCCAGGAAGCCTTCCTACACCTCCCTGGGAGTCCTACTGAGCCCAGAACCTCCCCACTCGTCTGAGACCCCAAGAAGAGGACCAAGGCCAGCCTGCCCACCACGTCCCGGCTCTGGACACAGTGCCAACGCCCACCTGGCCTTCCACTATGAATGAAACAGGGCCCCAGTCCCAGCCTGTGAGCATAAAACATGCCCACCTTGGCCTTGTTGCCAGAGCCTCAGAGCCGGGGACAGCAGGGACCCAGCACCCACCCACCGAGTGGTCACTCCCAGGGCTCCCTGGTCCCCAAGGCCCCCAGGTCCTTGACAGTCAAGGCCAATGCCCCTCCCCCTCCTGCCTTTGGCCTGGGGTCAGCCTGGCTCAGCAGGAGCTACTCCCCAGCCAGTCTGTGGGCGGGTCCCTGAGGGGCCTTCAGGTGGCTGGGCCCCCGGACGTCCGTCAGGGATCTTGGGAGCAGCAGAGCCCCACAGTCATCCGTCTCAAGGGTCCCACAGAATCGGGAGACCCCAGCACCCTTGCGGGCCGGGTGCGAGGGGGCGGGGCTGGGCCTGGTCCCTCCCCGCCCGCGCGGGGCCTACCCTGCGCGACACGGCGGCGCTGGAGCGCTCCTTGAGCTGGGGGTCGGTGGGGAGGCTCTTCCAGATAATGTAGGGGGTGTCGTACTTGGCCCGCAGCCTTGGGCAGCGCTTGAAGATGAAATCAATGAGGAAAAACTTGACTCCAGCGTAGAGTCCTGGAGGGGCAGAACGAGGTGCCGTTCCCCCGAGTGCTCCTCCCACCTCCCTGGTGACGCTGAGCAGCAGCCGTACCACCTGCCCAGCAGCTCAGGGCAAACCCCGACCCGGATCCTCCCCCCGCCCCATCCACCACAAACCCTGCCGGCTCCGCTTCCTAAACCCCCGGGACCCGCCCACCCCCAGGGCCCACCACACACGCCCTCTGCCCTGGCCCGCGACTGTCCCTGACCCCTCGAGCCCCCCACACCTGGCACACACTTTGAGGCTCCTCATGCTGCAGGCCCCCCCCAATGCCATCTCCCACCCCAGGTCTCTCCTGCCTTCACGCCTGACCCCTCACGTCTCTGACGCCCGTCCTCTGAGAGCCCACGAGCCCCCGAGTGCTCAGAGGTGACCGTGGCACCCACCCAGGGCCTCGGGTCCACCAGCCCCTCCCCCTCAGCCGGCAGAAAACAAGTTTGACCTAAGAAACCGTAGCAGCGCCTCCACACGCCGTGGCCTTTGTTTCTCCCAAATTTAGACATTTTGATAAAAAGCCCCTGGAAGAGGCACGGAGGGAGAAATGCCTCCTTCCTGGGGGCCAAGGCCTGGGGCAGGCGTGCGGGAGCGGCAGGCGCCTGGGCCCTGGGCCGCACCATGGGGCGGCAGCTCTGGCCAGGCGGGCATCTCCTTACCCACGGCCAGCCCCACCAGGCGGTAGGGGAAGAAGCAGGAGGCGAGGAAGGCGGCCCACAGCGCGACGTACAGCTTCTGCGTGATCTCGGGCTGGACCCACATGAACAGGCTGCAAGGGAGAGGGCCGGTCAGCCGGGCGGGGCCGCACCCCAGACGTGGCGGGAGGGCCGGAGTGACCACTTACTTCTTGATCTTCTCCAGGATGTCGGCCATCTTGCCAAAGAGGTTCTGTGGGAGAAGCAGCTGTGGTCACGACAGACCCCCAGGGCCACACGGCAATGCTGGGGGGATGCACAGCACCCGGGAGACCACAGCCAGTGCCCAGAGCCCTGTGGCCCCACCCAGCTGCTTCAGCCTGAGGGCTGATGACCGGTCTGGTCTGAATCTCAGATTCAGGCTGATCACCACGGGGGCCCCGGGCCCACACTCTCTTGGGAGCCTGACTGACTCTGGTCGGGAGGGGCTCCACCAACTGGGGTGCTGGCCATCACGCGAAGCCAGGGGGACCCTCTCCACCAACCAGGTTGTCTCGGGTGCCAGCGAGGGACCAGTGGACAGGGTGACTGCTGAGCTGACAGTGGACGAGCCGGGCCTGGAGTTCCGGGGTGCTGGGTCCCCCCACCGGACAGGCTCACCCGGAGGCGCCGGCCAGAGCCCGCAGCAGTACCTGGGCTTTCTGGGCGACGTCCAGCACGAGCTGGAACTTCTCGGACACGGTCAGGTCTTCCTTTGGAGGCTCCTTCAGTCAAAGGGGAAAGAGAATTTCCACTGAAATTCAACAGGTCAGAGAAATTACTGACAAAAACAGCAAGGAGGCCTCCCAGCCCCAGCACCAGGGTCTCGGCTGCTCAGACGCAGCCAGCGGGACGGCCATCCCTGCAGGCCCAGCGGACAGCACAGGCAGCTGCTCCAGCAGCACCCCTCGGGTGCCCCCCGCAGGCAGCGCTGAAGCTCCGATTCACGTTTAGACAGATCAGAGGTGCACCTGGGACCCCGCAGCCCCCCACGTCTCACGTTGCAGCAGAGAAACTGAAGCCGCAGCAGGAAGGGGCCTGACCTCGCCCTGCTTGCCTGAGCTCACACCAGGGACCAGGCGCAAACGGGCTCGGGCTTCTTTCCCCCGAGACGCCCTCCCCAGGGCCTGCCTGAAGGGGCCCCTGCAGCACCACCGACATCCCCCACCCCTGCTGCACGTTCCGTGCGCACAGTAGGTACTCAAACACCTGACACGGGTCACAGAGGCACCATGGCCTCGCTCCTGGCCACACCCAGCGGCTCTGCCCCTGGGCCAACTTCTCTGTCACGGGCCCGCAGCCAGCACACGCGCCTCTGCAGGCCTGACAGTGTCTCAGCAACTCAGCGTGGCTGCCAGGTGTAAATGAACGGGCACAGTGTGTGCCAATAAAACGTTATCTACAAGATCAGGCAGCAGGCCACAGGTAGCCTGCTGACCCCTGCTGCACACATCCACTGGTCCAGCCCCTGGTTCACCTCCCCACACAGGCGTCTGTGAGGGGCTGAGGTGGCCCCCTCGCTGCCTCCCCACCTTACGTCACATCCCAGCTGAGGAGGGTCGGGTCAGGCCAAGCCCAGGCCAGTGAGGGGCACTCGGGCATCAGCTGGCGAGGGGTCAGGGTGCAGCTGCATGGGGCTCCAGGCTGGGGGCAGCTGGCCTCCTCCTCCCCGACCTCTCCTCGCCAGGCAGGGCTCCCCGAGGGCGTCCACGCAGCTGCATCGGGAGGCCTTGGGAATCAGCGGCCTTCCGAACAGGGCTGGCGGGCAAAGGCCTGAGGCCTGCAGACGGCGCCCCTCCCGGGACTCACCACCACTTCAGACACTTCAGGCACGATGCTCCACTGTATCCTCCAGCCCCTGGAAAACAGAGACAGCAGGCCTTCAACACAGCGTAGTCCGCAGGTGATGGAGTCAGAGAGAGAATATCAAATCACCCACCCTGTGCTCCCCAAGGGGAGGCACCCCGGGGAGTGCTGGCCGGCCGTGGGGACAGGGGCTTCAGAAACACCCAGCCGCCTGCAGAGACTGCCTGGGCCCCTCCTGGGCCTTGAGAGCAGACGGTCCCGGTCACCCCCACCGGCCGCTCTCTCGGGGGCCCTCCTCGGTGGGAGACAGACTTCAAGTACCCAGAGGGGTTGGGCCTCTCAGAGTAAGTCAGCAAAGCTGCAGCGGTGAGAACTTCGGTGAAGCATGTCTAGTCGGGGCCCGGAGGACCCTTCGCAAGCCTTTAAAGGTTTTCTTTTCTACAGAAAACGTTTCCAAGTGAACCAACCTAAGCGGGCAGAGAGGAGCACGGAGGAGAGTGGGCGTGTGAGCCTGACTTCCGGAGGCTGAGCAGAGGCAGGTGGGGCCGCCTCTGAGTTCTGGTGGGAGCTTGAGGCTTCCCCCCGTGGGGCGCCCTCAGGTCCACACAGACCCAGGGGCCTGGGGACAAGGGGTTCCCACCCCAGCCTGCTGGCTTCCAACAGAGCCCCCAGCCTCGAGGTGGAAAGAGGGTGCTCGGAGAGCACAAAGGAAAAGCAGAGCCTGACCCTGGGCTTGGGGACCCCTGACTAGCCCCTCGGAGCCCCCGCCCTGCTGCCACCTGCACCCTCACCAGTGGGACTTCCCGGGCTCAGAGCCACCGCAGCTCCAGCAACCCGACACTGGGAGGTCACTGCCGAGGTCTGGGGGGACCTTTCCTGCCCTAAAGCAGCACATGGTGGGGGGAGCTGGCATGACCCTGCAGCCAGGACCTGCAGGTCAGAGCTGCCGGCCCCAGTGGACCATCCTGCTGGGGGTTCAGGAGCCTGCAAGAGGACAGCCACCCAGGACGATGGCCCGAGCCGCATGTGTGTGAAGTGGGGAGACGGCACAGCCAGCACGTACAGCACCCACCTGGCTATGAGGTAATTGAGGGACAGCCTCAGAATCGCCAGAAACAGGAACATGGGGATGGCCCAGCCGTGCCACACGGCATTCATGTACACCTGCAGGTTCGGAGAGGAAGCGGGTGGGAGACGTCAGCGACCTGACAGTGTGGCTCAGGGTGGGCCAGACCCCTCCCTCCCCACCGGGTGTAGGCTCGGAGGAGGCGGGGAGACCAAGCCCAGAAGCTCTCCTGAGGCCCAAGAACCCTGCACCCCAGAGAAACCAGAGAAGGGCTGCTTCCTCCCTAATAGCTGCCAGTGGAGATGGAACCCAGCTGGGGAGGAGGCGGGGTGGGGCAGCTGCTGGCAGGGCAGGGCGGGCCGCCTCCGTGACCAAGGGTGGAGAGCTGACCCCAGAAGGTCGGTGGGGCCACACCTGCGGGAGCTCAAGGCATCATGGAGCCAGCACCCCAACATCCTACCCTGCACCAGGCCTCCAGGCTGCCTGTGCGGGCAGGGGATGGAAGCAGTGGGTTCAGGCGGAGGCCCGGCAGGGGGTCTGAATGGGTAGGGCTGCCCCAGCCACGAAACACAGGTGGAAGTAAGGATCTGGGGACCGGAAGCAGCAAAGTGCTTGTGAAGGGTGGTGGAAGGTGACCTCCCAGTGAAGGGGGCTGGCCCCTGCGAGCAAGGCCTGTCCTCTGTGAGGGTGAGCAATGCTTATCTCTCCCATGGATGGTGGGCCCCTGGGGCTTCAGGGTGGTCCTCAGAACCCTCCCTGGCTGAGGCCACCTGGGGGCAGCGGTCTCTGTAGAGATGGGGCCTTTCGACGTGGCGGCTGTCCCTCTCTGGCCTCAGGGCCCAGCAGGCCAGTAGGCAGCCTACATCCTCCTCCCACTGGACGGCAGGGTCTCCCTGCACGGGGCTGGGAGCAGCCACTGGGAGCAGGACAACTCAGGCTGGGCGGCAGGGCCTGTTTTCCCCGAAGTACCCCCGGGATGCTGGCCCGACACCTCCTACCTTCCCCACGACTGGTGGCTTCACAGAGGCCAGCTTGGTCCCTAGGCCAGTGGCAGGAGCCACCCCCAGCCCCTGGTGCCTGATGGGAGGGACCCCTGGTTTCCACACAGGCAGACAAGCCTCCCCACAGCCCTCTCCCCAGCCCACCGGGGAAAGCCAGCCGCAAGCCCCACAGGGCCCTCTCCTGAGGACGCTGCGGTGGGGCTGTCTCTGGGCAGGCAGGGAGACTCCCGGCCAGCCCTGAGGCTGGGTGGCATTGGCACATCCACCGCACAGGTGGGGATGCTGAGCGCTGGCCCACACAGCCAGGCTGGGCCCCGGGAAACCGCGGGGAGGGCACCCACCCCGCGGGGAGCACTCACGGTGAAGGCAATGGCCGACGTGTAGACGGAATACCAGTCGGATAAGGCAGAGAGGTTCTTCACAAAGCTGGTGACAGGCCTGGCACCGCGCTCTGGGGACAGGACAGAGCAGTCAGGCCAGGGCTCGCCCGGCCCTCGGACACACCCGGCCAGCCCCACTGGCTGCACCAGTTGACGGGGGGATGCAGAACCAAAACGAGCAGAGCAAACCCGAGCCGTCGCAGGCCCCTGGTGCCCCAACCCCAGGCCATGCCGGTGCTGCCTGCTGTCTTTCGCCCCCACGGGGAGATGCCATCTGCGGCCCGCCAGTGCCCCTAGGCGGGAACAGCGGGGCTGGGGGCTTTGTTCACATGCCATGGGCCTGGCAAGTGTCTGGAGAAGAACTACTTTTCACCAGGGCTTCCAGACCTGGAGGGAACCTGCTTCTAACTGTGGGCCGGGGCAGATGGACAGATGGGGTAGGCCTTAGGGAGAAGGCTGGGTGGGAATTCCTGACAAATGTCTCTTTGGAGGGCAGTCCAGGTCCGCACAAGACCGCAGTCACTCCTCAGGCCACCCACACCCACAGGCAGCTTAGCCCCAAGGACTGCACGGCCCCACGGAGACACACAGGTACTTACTGAGCCTCCTCATGTTCTCGGTCAGCCTAGGAGAGAGGGAGAGGTGAGCGCCAGCCCTGACTCAACTGGAGCGGCGTCGCTGGCCCCACAGCACCAGGGGAGCCCGAGCTGACCCGGGACCCCACTGCTGCTCCCTCGGTTGAGGCAGGTCCCTCGTCTCCTGCCCACATGCCCCTGCCCGTGTCTGAGAGGAGGGCCAGGCCCGCAGGGGGCTCTCAGAGTCCCTAGGGCCCGAGGTTCACCCAGCGGGTGTGCGTCCCCACGAGCGAGGCCCAGGGAGTGGGCCCTCGCTGTGAGCCCACCACCCCACGAAAGCACAAGTCCGAACCCTGAGTAGGGGACACGGCTGTGCGGCTGCCCCTGTGAAACCTGCCAGCCTAGCTTGCTGGCCCCGGAGAGGCCCTTCCTGCCAGGGCGGCCGCACGGCTGGCCCAGGGCGCCCCGACAGCCGTCCCACTCTGCTGCTGTACCGAGACCCGGCCTGGCTCTCAAGCCTCGGTGCAGGGACCAGGCCCACCGGCCCCGGGCTCCCTGCCCCGGGCGCCCCCACCCAGTCCCACGAGGGTCTCACCTCCGGGCGCTGAGGGGCTCGTCCGCCTCCACCGTGCTCTCCTCGGGCTGGAACCGGAAGTCCTCCACATACTCCCCGAACCTCTCACAGAACCACTTCTGCACGCGGGGGCACAGCCCCTGGCCCCGCCGGTCTGTGGGACGAGGCGGGGGTCTCGGTGAGGGCGGTGGGCTGAGGGGGCCTCAGAAGGCAGGGGCAGGTGTGGGGGTGCGTGCGGGGTGGGTCAGGGCCGCTGTGCGCCAGGGCTCCCCGGGAGCTGGGTGAGGACCCGTCCGTGCCAGGCCTCTGAAGGGCTCGGGCCCCTGAAAACAGCCTGGCCCACCTCACTACAAGGTGCAAACCAACCAACGCAGACCCCAGGGCTCCCCGTGTTTCTCACACCGGCCCCCGGCTTACTGGAGGCCGTCCCCAGCACAGGCGCCGTCCAGGCAGGCTCTCAGCCCATCGTGGGGTCTGTGTCAGCCTCCCCCCATGTCTAACTGGGCACACTGGTTTGTCTGGGGAGTGGCCAGGTGTCCCTGGGGGACAGCCAGTGGGCCTGTGTGTCGAGGGCTGTGTCCTGGTGGGGGCTCCCGTGAGTGAAGCGGTCTCTGCTTACTCATGGCCAAGGCCTTTGGAAAGCCACCCACATCAGACTCAAGAAAACCAGCCCAAATCCCAAGGAACAAGTCTGTCTCTGCAGAGGGCAGGTGGCGGAGTCACCTGCAGGGGGCGCTGTCTGACCACAACCAGAGGGAGTGGCGTGAAGGTGGTCACGTGCTGCTGGCACCAAGGGACCAGGGTTTGCACTCACAGAGGCCATGAGGCTCAGAAATGCCCAGAGGCCACTCAGGCTTAGAAGATGACGGGTGGGGAGGGCTGGGGGGTCCCACACCCCGCCCGCCTGGCGCGTGCCAGGGTTTTTAGGGTGAGAGTCCACGCAGGGGCCGGCACTGCAAGGGCCTGGAGAGCAGCCGTGGACAGTGGATGGGCCCGGCTGCACTCCCGTGAAACCCAACTCACAATGCTGAAACCTGACATTCGTGTAACATTCAATTGTCAAAGATTCTTTTGCTTTTTTCCCAACCGTTTAAAAGGATTTAAAAGCATTTTAAAAATGTAAAACCAGATGCGGAGCTGTGGTTTGCCAACCCCGGGTCGGGGCCAGGCGCACTGCCCAAGTGGACAGGTCTCACGGCGCTCCTGAGCCCTGCCCCGTCCCGGGACCACGCAGACCCCCGTCCCCACCCCCACATCCTCAGGGCTGTACTTGCTGGGTCCTTCCCTCCCTTCACCACACCCCCTGCCTCCCACACAGAGCCCGCTTCGCAGTGACCACAGCTATCAGAATGGACCTCAGCTTAAGGACTGGCCCTCAGAGCAGGTGGCTGTGGGGACCCAAGGGGTTGGGGTGGAAAGACTCTCCTCTGACACTTCCCACAAGTGCAGGATGCTCACTAATTGCCACCCATAGCAGGGGTCCTGGGGGCTCCCTTGTGCTGCTCCTGGCTTGGAACCTGGGCCAGTGGTCATGAACCCTGGGAACCTGAGAGGACTCTGCCCCACTGGATGCAGCAGCCAATCCTGCACACAACCTGGCCCGTGGCATGTCCAGCTCTGGGGCCCCAGGAAGGGCATCTTCCTCTCCGGAAGGCAGGTGCAGTAAGGCCCTGAACTGGGCGGGAACGGGGCGAGCATCCGGCTCTGGTTCCAGCTCAGCCTCCCCATGGCGGGTCACCCTGGGAGAGGCCTTCCCTCCGGGACCTGGGTTCCACATCTTCAGCCAGGCAGGGTTTAACCGAAGGCCCTTCTGCTGTAGCTTTCTGAGCCCTGGCCCAGGCAGGGGGCTTCCCGCCCACAATCAGCCTGCAGGGGCCCTAGTGCGAGGCCACGCGGCCCAGGGCCCACCGTGGACCAGGTCCCCCGAGAGCTGGATGGAAGCCCGGTCTGCTCCCACGCCACCCTCTGAATGACAACTTCAGAACGTGCAGAGTGTGGGGTGAGACAGGGCGCGAGCTTGGGGCGGAAAGACAAGACCCGGAAAGGGGTTCTGGGTTCCGACTGGGGGGCTGGGGCACCCCCACTGCCCACTCACCCCCTTGTTGGGACAACCAGCCTTTGGAAACAGGCAAGCAGGCTGGGGCCAAGCAGCCAGTGTGACCCCGACCTGACTTGTCTTTGGGGAAGGGCCGGGCCGGTGCTGCCTCGCACTTTCACGAAAAAAAGTGTTGTGTTTTGCTTGAACAACTTGCATCTGCTATGAAGACCCCCCAACTCGTAATTAGAGACACGAACCCAGTCCCCAAGGGAGGAGGTCCCCGGAGGTGAGCAGGGGCACCCGGGGACAGAGCCCACCCACCCGCTGCCTGCAGGCCTACCTGCTCCGTTATTGACCTGGGCCTGGCCTCTCACGGGCTGCTGAGCTGGCGGCTCCTCGGTTCTTAAAGAGGGGAGACAAGAAGCAAGACTTCTGTCAGTTCAAGGTGTGTTGGGCTTTGCAAGGCTCTCACGGGAGCTGTGCTGCACACAGCGGTGCCTGTTCCGACCCACCGGGAGCCCTCTGGGCTCCTGATGGCTCAGACGCCGGCTGCGAGGGCAGGCGCAGAGCTGCACGCCTAACGGGCGCGCCTGCTGGTTCTTGCCGACCAAATGAACAGCGTCTCAAGCACACAACTCTTTTCTTTCCTGTTACTTTTAGCACATTTGGGTCTTTACTTATTACTCAGCTCGGAACAACTAGCTCTTGTACTAATTAACTAGCCTGCCAGTGGAAAAGATTTATCAACACGCATATTCAGCAAGCACCATGCAAAGCCGCAGGCTGAGTGACCCCCGCCCCCTGCACACACGGCCCAGCTCGGTCCACGCCAGCCACCTGCCCGGCTCCCTGCCCTGCAGCCCAGCCGTCCCCGACCACAGGACTCGCCTGGCCTCGGAGCCCTCCCTGGAATTCCTGTCCACCTGCTGGATGCTGACAGTGGGCCTGATTTCCAGCCACAGGCCCTGACAGACTGGCCCCCAGCCAAAGGCCTGGCCCCATACGTTGGGCAGTGCTCCGTCACTGACTGGCCAGTCCGCCTGCCCTCCTCGCCCGGCACTGGCCTGGGCTGCTGATACACCATACTGCTCCCGCGGCCCCCCGTCCAGCAGACCCCAGAACGTGGGAAAAGCGGCACCCCAGGCAAACCTTCATGGGGGCTGGGGGGCACAGAGGACTCCCCCAGGGCAGAGACAGCGTGGCTGGGGGGCCCTCCCCACGTGCACACCTTCAGCATTCTGTTTTGTGTACACAGCGTGATTTCACTCCAGCATCTCCGTGAACCCACCCAGTCCGTGGGCTTGTGACCCGCAACTGGAACCCATCACCGCCATGTCGTGTTAGTGCAGGAGGCACAGAGGACAGAGCAGGGCAGGCAGGGGGTGAGGCCGGCAGCCTCTTTTTTTTTTTGGTGGGCGTAGGTAATTAGGTTTCCTTACATTTATTCTTAGAGGAGGTACTGGGGATTGAGCCCAGGACCTCACATGTGCTAAGCATGCACTCGACCACTTAAGCTAAACCCTCCCTTCAGGTCTGACAGCCTCCTGAAGCAGTGGACCGGGAGGGGTCCCAGAGAAAGGAGCCACAGTCAAGGAGGAGGCCACTGGGCCTCTACACCCCCTGCCCCCCGTGGCCAGGCTGCCCAGGCGACCATCCACGTCCAGAGCTGCTGACCAGTGAGGATATTTCAGGAACAGGAGGGGAGCTGGGCATGCCGGCAACTCCCGTGCCCTGGCTGGGTGCCCCCCGTTCCTGGGCAGGCGTCCAGGCCTCTGCACCAGGACATTCCCAGAAGAGGCGGCTCACCCAGGAAGCACCAACAACAGGCTCCCGCCCAGGCCCAGGCCCAGGCCCAGGCGTGTGACTGAGGGCTCGCAGGCCTGGAGGACACCAGCTCGCTAAGCCACAGGCAGGCTGGGGCTGCCTGGAGCGTCCTGCGTGTTACTGTTTACTGCTGGGCTGGCACCTGATGACGCTGATCCTGCACAAAGGCTGTGTGATCGTTCCAGCCCCATCACCTGCTAGAGACGAGCAGGTGTTCAGGTACTCATGGGCTGCAAGCTGCCTTCGGAGAAAGATGCCTGGAGACTCGGGTGCAGGTGCTCCCAGGGGCAGGGACTTCACCTCCCTCCGGTCACGCCAGGTGTGGAATCTCGACTGCCTCTTAGGAAGCCGACTGAGCACAGAGCTGCAGCAGTGAATGCTTTACAAGTTAAAAGGAGGACAGGCAGACGGCCTGCAGCAGCCCAAACGCTCCCAGCAGGGGGCCGGCCCGCAGCTCCAGGTGACCAGGGTGAGCAGACGTGAGCCGGTGGCCTTGGAGCAACACAACGCCACAAGAAAAGGGCCCTTGCATCCCTGACAGCTGGGGGCCTTCCATGACGTCTCTGAGCCACCTACGCTGCTGTCCAACCACCAGCCGCACAATCTGGAGTGGAGCGTCAGGAACCACTTTACTAAAGTCTAGTTTTCCTGCCGGCAAGGACCCGAGGCCTCAGGGCAGACGCTGGAGCCCGACACGTAGAGCGCGATGCCAGGGGCCCGTGTCGAGTGCGGGAGCGGGCTGGGCGCACGGGACGGTCACACACGGGCAGACACCGGAGATCGACACGGAGCGTGATGCCAGGGGCCCGTGTTGGGGGGGAGTGGGCTGGGCGCACGGGACAGTCACACTTTGCGCCCCTGGCCAAGGCCACGATGTGGCCAGGAGGGCACAGGAGCCATAGGAGGTGCCCTCTGCGAGCAAACCCCAGGACAGGGCTCCGGGCAAGACCAGACCACAGGCTGGTGGAGGTCAAAGGGCAATGTCTCCATGGTGCTTTTGAACCCATTAACTGGAGACGACCTTCACCTTAACAAGTAAGTAAGCTTAAACCAAGGTGATTTTCCCAGAATTTTCTTAAAAAACAAAACAGAGGTTTGTGTAAACATAGTCACCATGTTCCACTCCCAGCCTGTGTGTGTGTGATGCATGTGTGTGTGCCCCGCCGTGAACGGGGTCCCCACATGCGTGCCCACCCAGATGGGCACCAGGATGTCGACCAGGCAGGAGGAGGCCTTGCCCGGAACTTGCTTTCCCTGCACCCCTCCTCCTTCAGGTCTCAGCTTCCAGAAGGTTCCTAAACCCTAACCTCCCCACCCTGAAAGCAGGGGAGCGGCCCCTCCACGCTCCTCGGACCTGCAGCTCCTACTTCCTGGTCCTGGCCTGCGTGTTCCTCTCCTGGAACCCTCAGCTGCGGGGTTACAAATGTCAAGAAGGACAGTGACACTCGGCCTCTTCACAGAGAAGCCGGCTCTGGCTGGGCTGCCCCAAGCTGGAGAGAGCTGTCCACTCAGACCGCAGAGGGCCTGGACAAAGGTGGTGTGGGGCCGGAGGGGACCGAAGGGGCAGTGGGGACTTCGGTGGCCTCATCTACCAGGCTGCTGGCTGGGATGCCACACAGAAGAAGAGACTCGTGAGGGTTTATCAGAACGGGAAGAGCACAGCTCTTAGAATCCGGGAACACCCCTCTGGCATGACCTGCCTCTCGCTGGTGGCACCCCGAGGCAGAGGCCAAGTTCATGCAGGCAGAGGTGTGGGGCACTGGAGGAGGCCGCGTGCCAGAGGAGTGCCATCTTGCAGCATGGTCCATGTCACCCCCTCCAGAAGCTGGGGTGTCACCTGGCAGCCTGGGGACGGAGGACCCCAATGGAAAGAGGTGACCATCCAGGGCAGGCTGACCCCGAGGTCACGGGTACAGCAGGGTGACGCAGGTGCGGTGCCGGGACTACTGTCGGGGGCTCGGGGCAGGGACATGTCCAGGTGGGCGGTGGGGGCAGGGGAGGGCGGTGAGCGTGGGAAAGCACAGAGGCAGGGTGGGCAGGGTCTCAGGTCCTGGGAAGGCCCTGCCAGGAGCTGGGGGGTGACTGCTGGCCAAGACTTGGGGGACGTGAGGCAGCCCTGCCCGGCCAGGCCGCTCGTGGCAGGCTCTGTGACTCCTCCATCCCTCCTGCTGTGGAACAGGGTTCCTCCACCGCCTCTTCCCCAGACAAAGGCCCCGAGGCACCTTGACCTTGATCACAGCTCATGACCGGCACAGGCACGACTTGACCCAGAGAGTCTGGGCCAGGCCCACAATCACCACTCACCCTCTGACCCTCATAATGCTCTGGGCCCAGGAGGGGCTGTGAGGGCTGAGGAGGCCTGGGGGGGCACCCCCACTCAGCAGAGACCTCAGGCCCCCTGCCCGGGGCACGTGTACACACAGTCACCAGGCCCGTCAGCCCAGGAGCCAGGAGGGTGACTGGACCTGAGTTCTCGGCTGAGACCAAAAGGATGAGGGGAGGGGCAGCAGGACTCCTGGAGAGACTGTGACAGCCCCGTCCTATTGAGGAGGGCAGAGACGGGGCGCCAGCAGGAGCCACACAGCACTGGGGGCTGGAGGTGTGTCTGCTCCCGGGGCCGGCCACTTCCGGATTTGAGCAAGATCTTGACTCAGGGAACCCCCACTACAGACAGGGCAACACTGCCTGGGCGATGGTGTCACCTGGCCTTCACTCCCTCCTCACCTGGCCTTGGGCACCTCACCTGGTCCCACTCCTCACTTGGTCCTCACCTGGCCCTGAGCATCTCCTCGCCTGGCCTCGCCTCCTCCTCGCCCGGCCTCCCCTCCTCCTCACCTGGCCTTCAGCACCTCCTGGACCTTCTGCTCCAGCTCCATCCGCCGCTGCCGCTCCCGGTCCAGCTCCTGCCGCAGCATCTCCGAGTTGGTTTCTTCGCGCAGCTTCCGGAGCTCCTCCTCTGTGAGGGAAGGGCAGCGCCAGGTGAGCGTCCCGCGGACCGCCCCGCCGCCCCGCAGAGGGGCCGAGGGAGGGCTGGTCTGCCGAGCACTCAGGCAGCAGCGCCCTTGCTCCTTCGGGGGTGGGGGGAGCACCTACAGGAGTCTCTCCATCAGGGCTTCTCCTACTCAGATGGGGCAAGATCTCGGTGTCCAGATGGCCTGAACCAGCCACATGTCACCAGAGACAGGGAGCAGCCACCCCGCCCACACCTGAGGACAGGAGTCCTCCGACTCCAGGCTGGGAGCAGCCAGGGCCAGGCCGAGGGCCGCAGTGAGGATGCGGACCATCTGGGTCAGGCCTGGGCTCTGCCCTCCCCAGGGCTGCCTGGACTTCTCGGAGAGAGCTGTGCATGGGAGGTGGTCAGGGCTGCAGAAGGCCATGGCTCCGGCAGCTGGGCGCAGGGAGCAGGAGGGGACGAGGGCAAGCCAGAGGGTGCCAGCAGCCGCTTTGTACACAATCTAATCCTGCACTTTCTGTGCCTTCAAGCACACCAGCTCATCTTGCTGAAGAAGTGAGTTATGAACCGACGAAGGGGCCCAACCCAGCCTGACGCAAGTCCTGCAAAGCTTCCTGGGAGATGTGGATGCTCCTGAGCTAAGTTCCGATCCAGGGCGGAGATTCCAGCTTTCCTCTGACCTGGACGCTGCCGGGGGGCAGGGAGGCCTGGCCAGGCTGTGGGGACGATGGGAGCAAGGTGCCCACAGGGAGAGAACCACCCCCTCCTCAGGAAAGCTTGCGAGCACCACCTACCACACCTACGCCAGGGCGGCACCCGCCACGCAGGAAGCCCAAGGTCACAAGCAGAGGCAGGGGAGGGAGTCATGGTCCTGCTGCACCTCCAGACCAGAGCCCCAGGTAGTGGAACTATCACCCACTGACTCAAGAGCGAGGGAAGGAGCTCCGGTCTCCCCCACAGGAGTGAGCACAGCCCGGCTGCACCCGGGTCCCCGTCCTGCAGAGCCCCTCCCCACTCGGTCATGCCACAAGCGCTTAGGGGATGACAGCCAGCGGTGGGCACCCTGTGACTCTGGGGATTCTGCCCCGAGTCTGCTGCACCAGGGAAATCACAGCAAGGTGGAACCGAGCCCACCTGAAGCCCTTAAGCCACCCGATGGCGCCTGCAGACACGAGGCCCCAGTCCTGCCAGGGATCACTTTCTCGTTTCTCAACTGGGTCCAGAGTGGACTCTGGCTCGTCACAACCCCACGATGACACAGTCCTCATCCTCGCTGCCCACCTCCTGCATCCCCTGGACGTAAGCCCTCTCTTCCTAGGGCTCTCTATGGCACCCAGAGGAGCCACCACCTGCTGGGACAGACAGGCCATGGACACGGACGGAGACACAGACCCGGATGCCGCCTCGACCTTCCAGCATCCTAGGGCGAGGCTCCCTGGTGCACATGGGACACAGGAGCAGTGGGGACGTGGAGAGTCACACCCTCATCAGACACCCACTCCCAGGCTGACAGCCCCGCCACGGGCAGCTGCTCCGGGCTGACGATCCCATTTCCCCTTTTCAGCAAACAGCTCAAGTTGTAAGACAAACCCGGTGTCCTGGCCAGGCTGAACCTGAGCTGCTGAGAGTCCACATCAGCCACTCCGCCAGCGAGCACGGGGCAGTCTCGTGTGCCAGTCACGCTCTGGACGCTCGCGATAAAGAGGTGAGCAGGACAGAGAGCCACCCCCTGGGGGAGTCGGGCAGCAAGAGCAGCCCTGCTCAGTGAGCCTCAGTGGAGGACAGAGTGAGCGGGCTGTGGCGGAGAAGGATCCAGCCCCGGGGACTGGCGGGGGACGCGTCTGGGCGAGGGGGGCAGCACCCGCCAGAGTCCCTGAGATGGTCACGAGCAAGGGAAGGGACCACTCAGGCCACTACAGGGCAGGATTTTGCTCCCCACCTGCAGCTCAGCCCACCGCCCTCAGACAGAGCTTCCTCACCCAGACCCAGCTCCCCTGAGGCCCTCGGTGACGATGACAGCGGCACAGACTGGGGCGGTGCGGACTCCCGCGAGCTCTGCTCTGCAGGGTGTAACCCCAGCACACCTGTGAGCACAGGGGCCTGCCCCTCCCCCAGCCGCAGATGCCACAGCCTCCTCCTGGGCTCCAGGAGCTGCAGACCTGCTTCTGGGCTTGGCCTGCGGCGTCCAGAGCACAGGACCCCCGGGGAACATCAGCCCACGGCCAGGAGGCATGATGAGCCCCAGGAACCCCACCCCCGGCCCCCACCGGCCACTTCCAAGGGGGTCTTCCCCACAGCCGTGGAGAAACCACAGGGGAGCAGGCTGAGCCGCCCCAGGACAGGACAACGTGAACTCTGAAGGACAACGCTGGCCCGGCCCGAAGGCCGGCAGCCGGCCGTGCTGGCACCGTGACAGCCCGGGGTAACCTGTCCGATGGGACCAAGGCTGCTTTTCAGGGCAGCAGTGGGTTCCAGGACCAAGGGTCATCTCAGCGCTGCCTCTACCCAGGAGTCGGCCCTGAGCGTGGCTTGTTGTGGCCGTGGTCCGGGAGGTAGGGAACAGCCACGGAACAGCCACGTCTGTGTGAGTCCCAGAAGGCATCCCTGAGCCCTAGGAGTGGGACCCATCAATCCGCCAGCATCAGAGGCGAGGACTGGCACCCCCGGGGCCGGGACACCCTGGGGGTCTGACAAGTGCCTGGGGCTGCAGGCAGGCTTCCGCTGCCCTCATGGCAGAGAGATCCTCACAGCCCTGGTGCCTTCTTCCTGGGTAGGACGGGGCTCAGTGGGACCCAGCAGCTCCCTTTCCTGTCCTGGCCGCCTTACCAGACCTGAGGACATAGGGCTGAGCCCAAGACCCTGAGATTTAGGCCAAGGTCAGTAGGCAGCCACAGCCCCAGACAGACAGGCCTTGGGGAGACCGGGAGAGGCCGAAGGTCAGGAGACCCTGCTGCCTGGAGGGAGGGGGCTCCAGCGTGTCCCCAGCCCCACCGCACACCTGGGAGTTCGTGACCCGCCAGGCTTCACCACTAACCGGTGAAAACTGTTTAGGTTTGCTGAACACAGGGGCCTATCTGCTGGGTAAATATTTGAGTGCCCGGGCCCTTCTCCGCCACCTGCAGGATCTCCCTGCTCACCCTGCATTCTTCAGTGCCCTGCGGGCCCCTCCCACCCAGACTCTCTGGGAGAAGACCCTCCGGGCAGGGGGTGTGGGTGGACACCATGCCGACCCCACAGGGAGCCTCCCGCCTGGCTCCAGAGACCCCTTCAATCCCGAGGTGGAGCTGCTTCCCTGAGGAACAAGGCCTCCACACCCACCTCCCGGGGGCACAGAACAGGCTCTGTAAAGGGGCCACACAAAGGGTGATCAGGAAGGAGGGGCCAGCCTCTGCCCAGGGCCTTGGGGACACTGCTGAGTTAAGACTCAGAAGCAGAGTCCACCCAGGCCAAGCAGCGAGGGAGGACCCCTGCTCCAGGGCTGCTGGAGCCCACAGAAGGGGCTCTGCCCCGCCCTCATCTCAGCCTGGCTAACTTACAGCAGAGAGGACCTGAGCCAGGTGCAGATGGGGGGACCTCACCCCCACACACGTCCGGATTCTTCCTCCATGCCCCCCCAAATCCACACGTGCTGCTCGCTTCTGGCCCCACCCTGGTTCCTAACTGGCTCCCAGCTCCACTCTCACCCTAGTCGGCCTCCAAACAGCAGTCAGAGGTTCCGGAGGCAGACATCATCAGAACCTGACACGGCCCTGCTTGACACTGGGCCGGGGCTTCCCAAATCCAGCCCGAGGCCCCACCCGACTCCTGGCTCTGACTCCCTCTGCGCCTCCTCTCACCTTGCCTCTTTGGGGTCAAACCACAGGAATCCTCTTACGTCTCCAAATGCCTCCCCAGTCTGATCCTGCCCCAGGGCCTTTGCACCTGCTGGTGCCCCTTGACTTCAGTGCAGACTCGGATGCCGTTTCCCCAGGGAGACCCGCTGACACTCCTCCCCCAGCCAAGCTAACGAAGCCCTTTGTCGTCTTCTCTCACGGGTCTTGCTCTTTCCTGTTGGGAACAGAGGGCCTCCCTGGGTGCTGGGAGGAGAATCCTAGAGATGACCAGCTCCACAGGCGGGCTCAGCAAACATGACCCCGGTAAACAAGCCGCACTCCCGAGTCACGTTCACCTGCAGGACCCCCAACTCAGGCCCCAGAGGGACGGCCCGTCTGCTTCCCTGTTTGTGACAGCACAGGACCCAGCCTGGCTCGGGGGCAGCCAGGAAAGATGCGGTGAGCAGCACAGCAAGTTGTCGGCAGCACATCCGCACCAGGCTGGCCAAGGACCGGGCGGGGGGACACCCGGGTGGGGGAGGGCCACAGCAGGGATTCAACAAACGGCACCACTGCCCAGGACAAGGTCATCAGCACCTGAAGGACATCGTCATCTGGACAGCAGGCACGCCAGCCCCACAGCTCGGGCCCCGGCCTCCCCCTTTACACCGGGGCTCCCGGGGACCTGAGGAGTCGAGACATTCAGAGTCCCCACCTGTGACGTCCTTGCACACACAACACCTGCTTTGAGGTGGCAGCGGCCACTCTGCAATCAGGAGTCCAGAGCCCTAACATGTGATCAGCCCGGGAGCCCCAGTCTCCACGGGGACCTCCACTCGGCCCCACACTAAACCTGGCAGTGTAAGACTGACCAAGTGCTACACCCTGCCCAGAGTGGGCGTCCGTGGCTCCCCCCAGCCACCTCATGTGGGTGAACTGGCCCCAGAGCCAGATGGGACACAGCTCCCTGTGGGACCCTGGACTCTGGGGAGGCAGCTCTCCTGTCCTGGGGCCAGAGCTGGCCTCAGCAGATGGGGCCCTGGGCCTTCTTCCAAAAGGACTCACACCCCCTGGCAGTGGGAGAGCCGGGGCTCTGGCACCACATGGAGACCCTCTGCCCTCCTGAGTGCCTGCAGGGTGTAGCTAGACCCCCTCCCGTGGGACCCATTTCTGAGCCCACCCCCTGCCACC